CACACACACACACACACACACACACACACACACACACACACACACACACACACACACACACACACACACACACGCTCAGTACCTGCCTCCCTGTGCATGCTGGGATTGCTCATGGTGGAGGAACACAGGGGCTCCACCTCTGGCTGCATCCTGGGAAGGTGGGTGGGGGATGTCTCAGGTGGGTGGGGACAAGAGCTCTGACTGGACCACCCACCCCAGCTCCTTCTCCCCGATGACACCTCCTCCATCTCTTTGAAGCCCCGGGACAACAATATGGCGGAACTGGAAGGTTGAGACCATATAGGGACCCTGGTTCTCCTAACCTCAGTGACTCCCTGTGTGTCCCAATCCCTTCCACATTTTCTGGTCTCTTCCCCTATCACTCCCCGTCTTGAGGAGTCTCTGTCGCCACCTTTTTCTCTCCATCTCTCTTCCTCATTCTCTTCCCATCTCTCTGCCCGCCCTTCTCTCTGTCTCTCTTCCCATCTCTCTTCCCCTACTTCCCTTCCTCTCCCTCGCCATCTCTCCTCCACTCTTCTGGATGATTGCTCTATGCTGTTACTCCCCATTTCACTCCCCTTCCCTTGCTGCATCACCCCAGTCACCTCCGTCAGTTTCCCCAACATCTCCCCAGCCCCCCTTCCCTCCCTCTCTTCATATTTCTGTGCCTCTCTCTAACCCTATCACCCTCTCTAAATGGATCGGTCTCCCTAAGTTTCTCCCCATCTCTATCCAGTCTCCTTTCCTCCTCTCTCTCCATATCTCTTCTCTCATATCTGCTTCTTCCACCCCCTTTAGCCACCCCCCCTTCCCTGTCATCCCCTTTCTGTTCCCACTTGCCCTCTGCTCATCCCTGTCTCACGTAGGAACTGGTTAGAGACAGGTGAGATTCAAACAGAAACTGGGTTCTATACGGGGGAGGGGGAGGTGGGCAGGAGGCCTGGTTGCCGTGGAACCTCCAGAGGGAGGGGGAGGGGCTGAGGGCCCCTGACTCCTGGGTCTGAAGGGGGAGGGAGCTGGGGGCCTGGACTCCTGGGTCTGAGGGAGGAGGGGTCTGGGGGTTTGGAGTCCTGGGTCTAAGGGAGGAGGGGTTGTGGGCCAGGACTCCTAGGTCTGAATAAGGAGGGGCTGGGAGTTTAGACTCCTGGGTGTGAAGGAGGAGGGGCTGTGGGCCTGGACTCTTGGGTCTGAGGGAGGAGGGGGTTGGGGTTAGACTCCTTGGTCTGAGGGAGGAGGGGGCTGGGGGCCAGGGCTCGTGGGTCTGAGGAGGAGGGGCTGGGGGCCAAGACTCCCGGTCTAAGGGAGGAGGGGCTGGGGGCCAGGACTCCTAGGTCTGAGGAAGAGGAGCTGGTGGCCCAGACTCTTGAGTATAACAGCATCCCCCCATACCCCAAATGCCCTCAAGAATGCCTTCAAGAAGAAGCCCAAATGCGCTCGTCCTCCAGAAAGTCCTCTCTGACTCCTCCTCCTACAAGTTGGGTTTTCTCTCTCCCACCTCTGCATTCTCTATCTGCTCCTTTCCTAGACTTCCGAGCACTGTCTACCTACCCCGCCAGTCTTGCTCAGGGGTTTGGGACTGTATCTGCCTCCCACATCAGATCAGGAGCTCCCTGAGGGCCCTGGAGAGCTTAGGCTGTGATTGTTGAATGAATAAATGAGTGACTGTTTCCTTTTATCCTTCTGTAACACACACTGGGCAGCTCCCAGCTCTGTCTGCCCTGTACTTGTCCTCACAAGGCAACATAGGATGAAGAAGAAAACATGGACTCTGGAGTCAAACCGAACAGCATCGAATGCCAACACCGCCATGTCCAGGCTGTGCAACCTTGGGCAGATGTCTCCCCTTCTCTGAGCCAATAATGCTACCTCCAGTAGACGTTGCCCAGGGCTGTTGGGGGTTAAATGAAGCAAGGTACAGCAAAGCCCTGGAGCCAAGCACAAAGGAGGCACTCAGTTGAAAGCTGTTCCCCTTCCCAGTCCTCCATCTCTGCATCTAGCTTTAGCTGTCTCTGGAGCTCTCCCTTTCTTCCCTCCTAGGAGAGTTTCTCTATTTCTCTGCGTCTCTATAACTCTCTCTCCTCGTTTCTGGAGTCTGGCTCCCTATGTCTCCATCTCTATGTGTCTCCATTTCTCTCTTTTTGTCTTTACCTTTCTTCCTCTTTCTCTACCTCTGTCTCTGGAACCTTCTGTATCTCTCTCATTTGGATTTCTACAGCTCAGTGTCTCTGTCTTTCTCTGTGTGTGTCTGTCTCTCATTCTCCGTCTCTTTACCTTTCTGTGTGTCTCTGTGTCTCCATCTCTCTCTCTCTTTCCTCTTTCTCTGTGTGTCTCTGTCTCTCTCTGTCTCCATCTATCTCTCTCCTTCCTTGTCTCTCTGCCTCATCCCCCACCTGCCTCCCTTATAACTCACCCCATCTCTCTCAGGCAATCCATGTCCCCCTCCCTGGCCTCACGCCCAGCCTGGGACATAAATCCCTGAGTCAGCGTTTTCCTTAATTTCAGAAATGATGTCAGCACCGCAGTGGGGGTGGGGCTCGTTGTAGCCCTGGTCGAAGTGTTTGCCTCTCTGCCTCCCCATCACTGGCAAACTTGGCCTGCCTCTCACCTCAGTGTTTGCTCTCTCCAGAGGGAGCACCAGAAGAAGAGGTGAACCTGTTTTTATACACACGTGTGCATTTCTTTAGGTGTGTCTGCATCTACTCCCAGGCATCTTTGTGTGTGAATGTGTACCTATTTGTAGAAACTCACCCATTCACTCATCTATCCATCTATCCATCCCTTCATCTATCTCTCAAATATACATCTATTCAACCGTCCATTCATCCATTTATCCATCCCTCCATTCACTCATTCTTTTATCCATCCCTCCAATTATACATCCATTCATGCATCCACCCATCTATTTATCCATCCATCCATGCATCCCTTCATTCTCCAGCCAAACATCCATCTTTCCATTCAATCATCCATCCATCCATCTATACATATGTACATACATACATACATAGATCCTTCCATTTATTCACCCACTTATTCATTCATTCATTCAATCAATACTTTATGGCTCTCTTATGGATTGAATTGTGTCCCCCAAAAATTCATGTATAAACTTGGCTAGGCTATGGTTCCCGGTATTGTGTGATTGTCCACCATTTTGTCATCTGATGTGATTTTCCTACCTGTGTTGTAAATCCTACCTGTATGATGTTAATGAGGCAGGACTCAGTTTACAAGATTAACTTGTGTCTTAAGTCAGTCTCTTTTGAAATATAAAAGAAGCTAGCAAAGAGATATGGGGACCTCATACCACCAAGAAACAAGACCCAGGAGAATAGTCCATCCTTTGGACTCAGTGTCCCTGCACTGAGAAGATCCTTGACCGGGGAAGATTAATGACAAGGACTTTCCCCCAGAGTTGACAGAGAAAGAAAGCCTTCCCCTGGAGCTGCCACCCTGAATTCAGACTTCTAACCTCCTAGACTGTGAGAGAATAAATTTCTCTTTGTTAAAGTCATCCACTTTTGGTATTTCTGTTATAGCAGCAGTAGATAACTAAGACAGGCTCCTGCTGTGTGCCAAGGAGCCCTGGTGGTGCAGTGGCTAAAGTGCTCAGCTGCTAACTGAAAGGTCAGCGTTTCAAACTTACCAGCCACTCCACAGGAGAAAGAAGTGGCAGTCTGCTTCCATAAAGATTTAAAGCCTTGGAAACCCTATGAGGCAGTTAAGTTCTACTCCGCCTTATGGGGTTGCTATGAGTCAGAATCGACTCAACAGCAATGGGTTGTTTTTTTTTTTTGGTTTGGATTGTGTGCCAGGCACTGTGTCAGGCATCAGGGACACAACAGTGAACAAAACAAAGTGCTGCCCCCATGGACCTTATACACTCGGTAGTTCCTCCTCAATGTGCCAAACTTCCTTCTGCCACCAGGCCTTTGCACAGGCTGTTCATTCTCCTTGAAGCCTTTTCCTTCCCCTCCCTCATCTTCACCTGACTCATGCCTACTCACCCTTCTAAGCAAAGGTCAAATGGCACTTGCTCAGAGAAGCCTTCCCTGACTTCCTTCTCAGACACTGGACTTTCCTTCATAGCATTAATTCTAGTATAGGGGTCCTAGTATGTGTAGTTATTTATTATCTGTCTCCTCCACCAGACCATGAGTTATCTGAAGGCTGGGATTTTTTTTTTTTAATTTTTTTTTTTTATTGTACTTCAGGTGAAGGCTTACAGAACAAATAGTTTCTCATGAAACAGTAGTACACGTATTGTTTTATGACATTGGTTAACAACCCCACAACATGTCAACCCTCTAACTTCTCAACCTTTTTTTTTTTGGTGAAAATACACATAGCCAAAGATACACCATTTCAAAAATTTCTACATGCACAGTTCAGTGACATTGACTACACTCTTCCAATTGTGCTGTTATTCTCACTTAAGATGAAGGCTTACAAAACAAAATAGTTTCTCATTTAACAGTTACTACAAATGTTGCCCTATGACAATGGTTAACAATCTCACAACACATCAACAATATCCTTACCCAACCTTGGGTTCCCTATCACCAGCTTCCTTGTCCCCGTCTGCTGAAGGCTGGGATTTTTGTCTGCCTCGTTCCCAGGTGAATCTCTGGTGCCTCCAACAGTGCCAGGCACACGTAGGTGCTTGTTAAATATTTATCAAATGACTGAATTGAATTGAATGAGTGTGGTGGACACTCTCCTGTATCCTGTTTCCCTATCCAGTACTCTTTATACTATTCTACCCAGTGCAATGACACGCAAGGTCCTCAAATTTCTGGGATACAAACAACATAGTGGCTAAAGGCACCAGTTCCAGGTGCTATTAGGTTGATTCTGACTCATAGCGATCCCATGTGTGCGGAGTAGAACTGCTCCATAGGGTTTTCATAGCTGTGAGCTTTTGGAAACTGATTGCCAGGCCTGTGTTCTGAGGTGCCTCTGGGTGGGTTTCAACCTCCAGCCTTTTGGTTAGTGGCCAAGCACTTAACCACTTGCACCACCCAGGGACTCCTGGCTAAAGGCGAGGGCTCTAGATTAGTTTGAATCTCAACTCCGACACTTCCCAGCTGTGTGGCCTTGGCCAGGGCACTTCCCCTCTATGAGCCTCAGTCTCCTTTGGTCAAATATCATTAAAGATTAAATAAGCAAATGCATATAAATACTAATTATGACCACACAAAACACTACCAGTTTTTCTAAGCACCTCGTAGGAATTTAATGTAATCCTCAAAGTAACTCAGTGAGGTAGAATCTACTTTTTTTCACGGGCCTCATTGACGGAGGCAGTGAAAATTTAGCCAAGGTCGCATGGTGACTAGAGAGCAGAGCTGGGATTTGAACACCAGCACTTGGCCCCCAAAGTTTACACACAAACCAGTACACCACAGATGCCTCTCAATGCCTGGGAAGCCTCAGATCTGAGCATCTCTGTTGGAACACATGGCAAGAGCTTGGCTCTGGTCTCAAGCTCATGAGCCCATCCTTGTGCACATGTGTGAGTATGTACATCGCTGCATACTTCCTGCTGTGTGTCTCTCCTCAGGGCCCATCTGGTTGTGAGTTTGGGCATCTGGCTGCCTGGACCTGCATACACACGTGTGTAGGTGTACACCCATGTCAATGTCCTTGGGTGCAAATGTAGGTCCATTGGGAAGAACGCAAGAAGCACTGAGGGTAGGACTCAGGGTGAACCCAGGAGGCATTTCTGGGAGGTTCTACGGCTGCTAACCGAAAGATTGGTTGTTCAAATCCACCTAGAGACTCCATGGGAGAAAGACCTGTCCATCTGTTCCTGAAAAGATTACAGCCTAGGAAACGCTTTAAGTACTGAATGTTATGATCAAAGATTCTACAGAAGAATCGTGATCAAAAGGGAGAAAATAAAGAACAGAATTTCAAATTCTCATAGAATCCAGACTTCCTGGCACCATGGAGGCTGGATGAACCCCTGAAACTATTGCCCTGCGATAATCTTTAAACCTTAAAGCCAAAAATATCCCCTGAAGTCTTTTTAAAGCCAAACAATAGTTTAGCTTAACTAGTAAAGGATGTTTGTCTTGAGCTTTGTGCTCATCTAAGATCTATCTATGGGATCAAACTGACAACAGCAATTCAAAAGATTAGATAGGACAGTTAGGGGGCAGTGAGTTTATGTTAATGGGGAGGAGGAACAATTCAGAAAAAGGATGAGAATGGCTGTACAACTTGAAGAATGTAATCAATGTCAATGAATTTTACATGTAGAAATTGTTGAATTGGTGTTATGTTCTGTTTATAGTCTGAATAGCATCAACATAAAATAAATTATTAAAAACAAAAAACCCTATGGGGCAGTTCTGCTGTCACATGGGGTCGTTATGAGTCAAATCAACTTAATGTCCCCTAACGACCCACCTCATAGGGTCGAAGGGAGGATTACATGAGAAAATGCTTTCAAAGCACTTAGCACAGTTCCCAGAACATTAAAAAACACAAAAGTAAACCTGTTGCCACGGAGTGGATTCCAACTCAAAGGACGCTATAGGACAGAGTAGAACTGCCCCACAGGGTTTCCAAGGCTGTAAATCTCTACAGAAGCAGACTGCCACATCTTTCTCCTGCAGAGCCACTGGTGGGTTCGCACTGCCAAGCCCTTCACCACTGCGCCACCAGGGCTCCTATTAATACACCAGTAACTGTTATTAGCTGCTTTTAAGAAATATTTATTAGGCGCCTACTTGGTGCCAATGTTTTATCTATATCGACTGGATTTTCAAGCCTCTGGATCCCTTAGGAAACAGCGTTATTATCTCATTTTGATAATGAAGAACCGGGGCTCAGAGAGGATAAGTAAGGAGCGCAGGATCACACAGGCAGGAAGGGGCTCAGGTGGGATTTAAACCTTGGGCACTGCGCAGACCTCAACACCTGGCTGAGATTCTCCCTCCTGCTGACTAGAGTCTCCGCCTCCCCTCCCACCACCAGCCCTCAGAGTTGCTGGGGTTCTGGAGGAGGAGCGGGCTGAAGGATCCGGATTCCTGGGTCTGGGGGAAAAAGGGGCTCGGGGTCCAGACTCCTGGGTCTGATGGACAAGGGGACTGGGGGCCGGGGAAGGAGTGGGCAAATTCCAGGATCTGAGAATGGAGGTGGGTGGGAGCTCAGAATCCTGGTTCCTGGGAGAAGAGGGGGCGGGGGGCCCGCACCTCTGCGCCTGGGAGAAGTGGGGATCTCGGTGGCGGGGGACGGATCATAATCTCAGATCTTTGGGTCCCGACTGTGGAAGAGCGCTGGGTCTCTGACGCTTTGGTCCCAGGAAATCTCTCTCCTTCCTCGCGGCTGCCGCGCGATTTCGGCTTTCCGGCCGCAGGTTCGGAGGGTGGGAAGGAAAGGGTGCAGGAGGAGGAGCCGCGGACCTGCGACAAGGGGAGGGGGAGGAGCCGAGCGGGCACCGCGGCGGGCGCGCGGGGCTGCTGCTGCGGCGGCGGCAGCTCCGGGTGAGTCCGCTCCTCCCCCTCCCCCCGCCCCAGCCCCCGCCCCAGCCCTGCCCCGGGGGGCCGCCCCGGCGCGTGGGGGCGCAGGGAGGTTCAGAGGCGTGTGGATCTCAGGCTGCGGAGTGGGAGTGTTGCAGCGCTCGCTGGCCGCCCCGGGGGAAGGGCAAGTGGCCCTGGAATCTGGGGTCTCGAAACACCTGGGTGTACCCCACCCCTCGCCCACCCATACCCCGGCGTAGGGACAGTTTACCCCCACCGTTGCCTCCATGGAATTAGGAATCCGCGGCCTCCCGAGGTCCAGGACATCGACTCCTTCCCCTGCAGCGCTTTGGGACCCCGGCATCTTAACCCCCCCAAAAAAAATTCCCATTCTCTCTGCAACCAGGAGAGGCATGAAGGACTTCAACTCCCAGCAGGCCTTGCAGCGCCGGGTCTATGAAGCCACAGCAGCGCGAGCGCGAGGGCTACCGGGAGTTGTAGTCTCTGCGCTCTTAAAGGGAGCTGGGGGCCCGGAGGTGGGAGGACCGCCCCCCCCCTCCCGCCCCGGGGGTAGCCTGGGGTCGGACAGCTGGCCCAGGCAGGGCAAGATGTGAGGCTCGGACTGAGCTTTTTCTCCCTGCCACTGTCCCCAGATCTGACACCCCCCTCCTCCCCCCCCGCCTCACCGCCCGGCGTGTGGGGACGTGTCCGCAGCCCCTTGTCTGCCTTACAACTCCCATGGGCTGCCGCCCGCCGCCGCCTCCGCTGTCACCCAGGACACGGCAGGGATAAGCGCAGGTAAGTCTGACCATGCCTCTCTCGGAGTCCTGGCCTTCTGCAGCACCCCCCACGACACCTGTCCACTCGTGAGCCCTAATTTGTGTGTCCCTAATTTCTCCTGCACCCCCCTTCCAACCTATCTCTGATGTCTGGCCCCAGATCATGTGCCCCTCATTCCCCCTCTCCCCACCCCTCTCTCCTGGTCCCCTTCCAGGTATACCCCCTGTCTGTCCTTCCTTTCTGGACCCAGGTCTGCCTGCCCAGCCCTCCTCTCTCTATCCTTTTGTCCATCTCTGGTCTCTGGCTATTATCTGTATGTCTGTCCTTTATTTTTGCACCCTACTCATTCTCCAGTCCTGTTTCTCTCGCAAAGATATCTGTGTCCACACCCCTCTGTCCACCCATCCCTTTCACCCCCCATGAATGATACACCAGCAGATTCTTGATCGCAGTCCATCTCAAGTCTCAATCCCCGACTTTCCATCTGTTCCTCTCTCCTGGGCCCCAGCTTGCCCTTCCCATCATCTCTGTCCCTGCTCCACTTATCTCTCCCTCCCTCAACTTGGTCCCTATCTTTCTATCCTGCATCTCCTTCTATCCCCAGGATGGAGTAGACACAGCCATCTCTTCTTTCTCTTATCTCTATCCCTTTCCTATTCCTCTCTCTGTCTGCCCCAATCTGGCCTCCTATCCATTTCTCAGATACTCCAAGCCCTTTCCCACCCTAAATCCCTGCTCTTGCTGTTCCTGATGCCTGGAATTCTTTCCCCTACCCCATCCTCACTACCCATGGCTGCCTCCATCTCTTCCTTCAGGCCTCAGAGAGCCCTCGCTGACCACCTCCTCCCAGTCCCTTCTTAACACATCTTTCAAAAGTACTTTTCACTGTCTGAGAGTATTTTGTTTGTTTATGTTTGCTTGTTTACTTGTTTACTCTTTGTCAAGCCTCATTGGATTATGACACCAGGAAGTCAGAGAATGTGTGTGGTTCTTCCCCTGCTGTATCTGCAGCAGGTGGCATGGTATCTGGCATGTAGTTGGCACTCGGTGTTTGTTGAATGAATAAATGATGAATGACTGTCAACTGTCTGTCCACCCTAAATTCTGTCCCTTTGCCTGTGCATCCCTAATCTTGGTCTCCTTGTCTACCCATCTTTTATCTTTACCCCTTGAGTGGACTTCCCAGTCTCTTCCCCCTTGTCCATTTGTCCCTATCCTCTGTCCCCTTGTCCATTCATGTCAATCTCTTCCCCCTTGTTTGTTCAACCCCTGTTACTATCTCCTGGTCTATCCACCCCTAATTTCTGTCCCTTTGTCTTTCTTCCTCTAACCTCTGTCACCTTGTCCATTCATCCCTAATCTCTGCCCCGTTGTCCACCTGCCCCTAAACTCTGTCCCCTTCCTATCCTTCTCCTACCTATCTCTTTCCACCCCTTATCTCTGCACCCCCACCCATCTCCTCTCCCCCATCCCATTCCTCATTGACACTTGCCTGGGACCTCCCAAGCACAGGACCCACCGGCCATCATGTCAGGGGACTATGAGGATGACCTCTGCCGGCGGGCACTTATCCTGGTCTCTGACCTCTGTGCACGGGTCCGAGATGCCGACACCAGTGACAGGTGCCAGGAGTTCAACGACCTGCGGATCCGAGGCTATCCCCGGGGCCCAGATGCAGGTCAGCATCCCTGGCTGTCCCAGCCAGCCCCCTTCCTTTGCTACAGCCAGGGTTTCCAGAGATTCAGAGCAGGTCCACTCAGCTGTCTGTTCCCTATGGGGCCAGTCACTCTCAAAGTCTTGCCTCCATCCTGCCTGCTGCTGGCTCCTCAAACCTCTGATCTAAAGAGAAGGAGCTGTGTGGTCCATTTGATGCTTGATCTTTTGTTTGTTTGTTTTATAATATTTTATTGTGTTTTTGGTGAAAGTTTACACAGCAAATTAGGTTCCCACTTGACAATTTCTATAAAGATTGCTCAGTGACATTAGTTACATTTTTCACAATGTGTCAACATTCTCTTTGCGTTCTGGTTGTTCTGTTGTCAGTACTCTAGTTTCCCTGCCCCCTTGTCTTCTCATCTTGGCTTTAGAGTAATTGTCCACCTTTTGGTCTCATATAGATAGGTTTTTAACAGATCACCATACTCATGGATAATATCCTCTATTATGTATGCTAATGTGTTATTTCGCTAAAAGGTGATCTCAGGGGATAGTTCAGTTTCAAGAGTATCTCAGGGCAATAATGTCAGGGAGTCCTCTAGTCTCAGCTGGTCCATTAAGTCTGGACTTTTTAAAAATCTGAATTCTGTTCCACGTTTTTCTTCCATTCTATCAGGTCCATCTATTGTGGCCCTGATCCAAATGGCCAGTAACTGAAGCTGGGCACTATCTAGTTCTTCTGGTCTCAGGGTGGATGAGGCTATGGCTCGTATAGGCTAATAGCCCTGTAGACTAGTTTCTTCTCTGAGACTTTGGGATGTTTTGGGTTTTGCTCTGTGAATCCTCCCCCTACCTACCCACCAAACATCCCCTTCAGATATCTTTATGCATTGTGCATAGTGGCTATAAGCACAGGCTCTGGAGTTGGACTATCTGGATTCAAATCCCACCTCCCCCACTTGCTAACTAGATAGTCTTAAGCAAGTGACTCTTCTGTGCCTCAGTTTCCTCATCTGGAAAATGGGAATAAATAATAAAAGTGACCACCTCATAGGGCAGCTGACAGACTCTAATGATACGACACATGCAAAGCGCTTAGAACAATGCCAGGCGCACAGGGATCATTCAATAAATATTGGGGTTTATTTGAGTGCCTACTGTGTTGCAGGCAGCATGCGCGATACTTTGCATATTTTTCAGCATTATTTATTTTTTATTGTGTTGAAAATATACATAATAAAACATACGCCAATTCAACAATTTCTACATGTACAATTCAGTGACATGACATTCTTCAAGTTGTGCGCTCGTTCTCGCTATCCTTTTCCAAATTATTCCACCGCCATTAGCATACACTCAGTGCCCTCTAAGCAAAAGATACTTTGCGTATTTAATTGACCATGCACAGCGACCGTTGGTGGTACCTGTAATCTCCATTTACAATGGGGAAAAAGGCTCAGAAGGGTGAAGTGACTTGCCCAAGGTCACACAGCTAGAAAGCAGCGGGGTTTTGAGGGTTAGGAATATTACTGGTCTCATGGTCCAGATGAGGAAACCCTCACCCTAGGAAGCATGTGCTGGGAGATAATAAAAGCAGTCACATTGCTGTGTGCCAGGGCAGGGCTTGGTGGGTCACCTGCAGGATCGCCAGGTGACAATGCTCTGAGATGGGCACTGTTATTATTTCTCTTTTACACCTGACAATTGAGACCAGAGAGTTGCCATTGCTTGCTCCATCACACAGCCTGTAGGTAACAGAGCCAGAATTTGATCCTGGGTAGCCTGGAGCACCACTACAGTTTGGGAGCCCTGGTGACCCAGTGGTTAAGCGCTAGGCTGCTAACCGAAAGGTTTGTGGTTCAAACCACCCAGCAGCCCCGTGGGAGAAAGATCTGGTGATCTGTTCCCATAAAGATTACAGCCTAATAAACCCTATGGAGCAGTTCTACTCTGTCACATGGGGTTGCCATGAGTCAGAATCAACTTGACAGTACCTAACAACGACAACAAACCACGCTCAGGTTCAGTGATTTCCTAGAAGGACTTACAAAGCTCAGAAAAGCCATTATACTCACAGTTATGATTTATTATGGTGAAAGGATACATATTAAAATCAACAAAGGAAAGAGGCGCATGAGGCAGGGTCCAGGAGAGACCAAATATGAGCTTTCAGTTGTCCTTGCCCAGTGGAGTAATGGGCAGCACTTAGTCCTCCCAGCAAATGATATGCAACAACACGCATGGAGTATTGCCAACCAGGGGAGCTCATCCAAGCTTTGGTGTCCAGACTTACTGGGGATCAGTCACATAGGCATGACTGACCACCTGCATGGTTAGCCTTAGTCTCCAGCCCCTCCAAAAGTCAAGCTGATACCTTATAACCCAAAGACCTCCACCATAAATCACATCGTTTATGTTAACTAGCTGGTGTGGCCCATGGTCCCCAGTAAACAAAGACACTCTTAACAAGCAGGACATTCCAAGGGCTTATAAGTTACCTCCTAGTCACATTTCCTTGAAAGTCTTCTGAACCACCCCATTCCTGGTACCAGTTATAGAATGAGCCAGAAACTTTTGGTTGCAAGGAGCTGGTTTGTACTCAAGTTTCTCCGAAAGGCGTATCAGCACATAGTAGGCATTCAGAACATGTTAGCTGTGGTGTTGGTGGTGTTGGGTACGTGTAGTAGCACCAATAAGATTTATTTTTCTAATAAAAATTCATGTTTGAACTACCGTTTATTGGGAAGCATTGAGGTGTTATAACATAATGGTTAAGGGCGTGAACTCTAGAGCCAGGCATCCCAGGCTCAAATCCAGACTCCACCACTTACTGGCTGTGTGACTTTGGGCAGGTGATTCTGTGTCTATCAACCTCAATTTCCATTTGTGGAAAATGGAAATAATAATGTTGCCTACCTTACAGGGTCTTTGTCAAGCTTAAATAAGCTAATACCCATAAAACACTTAGGTCTCTGGTATACAGTTATCACTCAATAAATGCTTGCTATTGTATCATGCAGCTATGCACACCTTTACCTTCTGAATTTCTTATAACCAATCTAAGAGTCAGGACTAATGTTTCTTATTTGGCAAATGAGGAATCAAAGACTCAGAGTGGTTAAGACATGTTCCCAAACCCACACAGCAAGCCGCGATTTGAACCCTGACCAGTCTCCCCTCTCCTTGATCAACTCTGAGCATTTTGGGAGACCTTGGTCCTACCCAAGGAGCCCTGGTGGCACAGTGGTAAAGCGCTTGGCTGCTAAATAAAAGGTCAGCAGTTTGAACCCACCAGCCACTCCTCAGAGGAAAGATGTGGCAGTCTGCTTCCGTGAAGATTACACCCTTGGAAACCCTATGGGGCAGTTCTACTCTGTCTTATAGGGTCACTATGAGTTGGAATCAACTGGACGGCAACGGGTTTGAATTTTGGTTTGGTCTTATCTTATGTATGGTGTCCTTTTCTAGAAAGGCAGTGTGGGCTGGCAATTAAAAGAATAAAATCTGGAGACAGACTGCTGGATTCAAACACCAGAGCTGTCATTTACTATCTGTGTTGCCTTAAACAAGGCACTCAACCTCTCTGTGCCTCTTCTTTAAAATGGTTATGTAAACATACCTACTTCTTGGGCTTATGGAGTCTGAATTAAGAAATATGTGTAAATTGCTTATGACAACATGTGGCAAATACTAAGGGTTAGCTCTTTGGGGACAGCAGTGGGTAGATGAACCCCACCCTGACCCCTGACCTCTGTCCTCACCCTCTCCAGACATCTCCGTGAGCCTGCTGTCAGTCATCGTGACGTTCTGTGGCATTGTCCTTCTGGGCGTCTCCCTCTTCGTGTCCTGGAAGTTGTGCTGGGTGCCCTGGCGGGACAAGGGAGGCTCAGCAGTGGGCGGCGGCCCCCTGCGCAAAGACCTAGGCCCTGGGGTCGGGCTGGCAGGTCTAGTAGGCGGTGGCGGGCACCACTTGGGGGCTGGCCTAGGTGGTCATCCACTGCTGGGCGGCCCACATCACCATGCCCACACCACCCACCATCCACCCTTCGCCGAGCTGCTGGAGCCAGGCAGCCTGGGAGGCTCTGACCCCCCTGAGCCCTCCTACTTGGACATGGACTCATATCCAGAGGCCGCGGCAGCCGCGGTGGCCACTGGGGTTAAACCAAGCCAGACATCCCCTGAGCTGCCCTCTGAGGGCGGGGCAGGCTCTGGGCTGCTCCTGCTGCCCTCCAGTGGTGGGGGCTTGCCCAGTGCCCAGTCTCATCAGCAGGTCACAAGCCTGGCACCCACCACCAGGTGAGAGAGGATATTGGGGGTTGGGGGTCCACTCTGAACTCCAGGTCTTCCTCTATGTTTGTTTCCCATCTATGGCTCTCCTGAGTCCTGGGGAAAGAGAAGACTAGAGGTCCAGAGTCCTGAGTCCTGGGGCAAGAGGGGACTTGGGGTGTGGACATTTGGATCCTGGGGAAAGAGAAGGCTGGAACCTTGGACTCCTAGGTTTGAGAACGAGGGGTGGGGGTCTAGATGCCTGAGTCTGAAGGAGTTTGGGGGCCAGGACTTCTAGGTCTGAGGGAGGAGGGAGCTGGGGGTTAAGACTCTTGGATCTGAGGGAAGAGGGAACTGCGGTCCAGGATTTTGGGGTGTCAGGGAGGAAGAATCTGAGGGTCCAGATTCCAGGCTCAGGGAGGTGAAAGAAAATGAGGGTTGGACCTCTGAGTCCCTGAGGCACAAGGCAATGCATCCCTTTATCTAAGTCAAGAGTAGTGGTGAGACCTGGAGTTCATTCATTATTCCCATTTTGCATATCTATATTGAGCACCTAATACGAGCTGGAAGGAACCCTGGTAGCGCAATGGTTAAGCACTCAGCAGCCAACCAAAAGATGGGTGGTTCAAACCCACCAGCAGCTGCACAGGAGAAAAGACCTGGTGATTTGCTCCCATAAAGATTTCAGCCTAGGAACCCTATGGGGCAGTTCTATTCTGCCCTATAGCGTTGCCATGAGTCAGAATTGACTCGATGGCACACAACGACAATAATATGAGCTAGGAGTCCCTGGGGTGGCCCAGATGGTTAAGCACTTTACTACTAATCGAAAGGTTGGCAGTTCAAACCCACCCAGGAGCACCTCAGAAGACAGGCCTGGCAATCTGCCTCTGAAGGGTCACAGCCTTGAAAACCCTATGGAGCACAGTTCTACTCTGCACACATGGGGTTGCCATCAGTCAGAATCAACTCCACAGCGACTAGTTTGAGTTTTGTTTCGTTTAACATGAGGCCCAAGCTGTGTGCCTGGGAAACAGTGGTGACAGTCTCTGCCCTGATGTTGCTCACAGTCCAAGGGACATGGGCCATTGAATCGACCATCCCCATCTGGCCAGGTCGGAGTTGCAGACTGGGACTCAGGGAGCCCCTGAGGAGGTCCCAGACCCTGATGAGGGTGGTGTCTCAGCTGAGACCTGGAGGGTGAGGAAGAGTTAGCCAGGCAAAAAGGGAGGGGTGCGAGCTGGGCATTCCAGGCAGAGGGAACAGCCTGTGCAAAGGCGAGAGCGGAAGGAGAACACAGTGCATTCTGGGAACAGCCAGTAGTCACTGTGGCGGGAGAGTAAGTTTGAAAAAAGAAACTTGGGAGATGAGGCTGTGGACGGGGGTGGGGGCCAGACCACGCAGGTCTGGCTTTGTCCTGAGGGCACTAGGGAGCCACAGGAGGGCTGTGATCAGGGGAGGGGCAGAGTCAGTGCTGGGTGTAGAAAGACCCTTCTGGGGCCACGTGGGAGATAGACTGGAGGGAGAGAGTCCAGGCAGGACACCATGAGGCCAGGCAGGGGCTGTGGGGATGGAGAGGAAGTTACAGGGTAGAGAGAGTCAGGCGAGAGGAGAAAGAGTGTGGGTAGGTGGAGGATGGAAGAGGTGAGGACAGCACCCAGGGATCTGGCCTGGTGATTGGGTAGATGGTGGGGCCATCAGACGAGGTATGAAGAGGACTGGGTTTGAAGGAGACACTGAGATAACCTTGATCTTGTGAGTGTGAGGGGCCTGGGGCAGCATCCAGGGAGGGGAAAAACAAACAAGCAAACCAAACTGGTTGCCCATCAAGTCAATTCCAACTCATGGCAACTCCATGTATGTCAGAGTAGAACTGTGTTTCATAGGGTTTCCAATGGCTGATTTCTCAGAAGTAGACCACCAGGCCTTTCTTCTGAGGCACCTTTGGGTGGAGTAGAACGATCAAACTTTGGGTCAGCAGCCGAGTAGACTGGGAGGTGGTGGGTGGGGATGGGGAGCAGCCTTCCAAAGGAATTATCATGGCCCTAGAGGTTCATGGGAGAAGTGGCCCTTAGTCCACAGGGCTGGCCGGGAGCCCAGGGGCTCATGGGAAATGTAGTTTGAGTTCCAGGGGGCGGCCTTCCCAAGGATGATGGATACACAGGTCTGAGTTCCCGTTATACTGATGAAGAAACTGAAGCTCAGAGGGGTCGAATGACTTACTCAAAGTCACCCTGGGAGCAAGGGGTGGCCAGATGATCCATAGCTGAAGTATCTCTCCCCTGAATCCCTTTCTACGGCTCGGTACCCTCACTTCCCCTAGCCCTGTCTCTGACATCTCAGCATATGCTGAAGCTGCCTTGGTGGAACTCCATGTACAGTTGTAGCTGTTGAGCACTGCTCATCACCAGGGGCCCTGGATGTGGTGGTCCATGCAGGAGAGGACAAGGCCCAAGCAGGGGTCATGAGGATGGGGAACTTCGCAAGACAAGAGGGAAAGGACTTGGTGATTGGGAGAGAGGATGTGGGGATGACCCCTGGGTATTTGCCATGCAGATCTAGGTAAATGATGGGGAATCCGGAGGAGGACTGAGTTCGGGAGAAGGTGGCAAGTTCAGGGGGGATGTGAGGGGTGTGTGGGGGTCTAGTGAATGGCTCAGGGCCAGGGGCTGAACCAGGCTGGAGCACAGGAGATAGATAGAGCAGACACCAACCTGCAGGTGGTCTTAGAAACCTAGGGTGTAGATGAGTTTGTAGGGGCAGGGGGGAGAAAGGGGGAAACATGGGAGTGAGAAGGGGAGAAGACAGGAAGAGATGATGGTAAAGATGAAGCTTTGGGCTTCACCAACACTTATCAGGAGGGACCAGTCCCTGGAGAAGGGTATCATGCTTGGTAAAGTAGAGGGTCAGGAAAAACAGGAAGACCATCAATGAGATGGACTGACACAGTGGCTGCAACTATGGGCTCAAGCATAACAACGATTGTGAGGATGGCGCAGGACCTGGCAGTGTTTTGTTCTATTATACGCAGGGTCACTATGGATTAGAACTGACTGGAAGGCACCTAACAACAACCCTTACCGACAGCTAGGGACCGAAGAAAAGATGAGAGGAAGGCAGGGAGAGAGGGAGAAGGAAGGGGAAAATTCTAGGCCAGGGTGGAGGGAAGGTCACATGGGAGAGTATGAGGCTGAGCTGGGGCCAGGGCTGTGGGGATGGGGAAGAGAGGAAAGGTTGGAGAAATTTCAAGAAGAGCATACTGGAGCTCAAAGAGGGGACCCAGGGGCTATGTAGGGACCCAGGGGCTCATGGAGAAGTTGCTCTAGGCCACCAGTTGGAGTCCAGCAGGAAGTTTCTGGAGGCTGGAGATAAGTTTAGAGGTGAGGATAATCTCCTTTATGCAGTTGGGGAAACTGAGGCGCAGAGCGCAAGTGACTTGCTCCAAGTCACACAGTGAGCAAGGGTGGGGATTGGGGCCTCCTGCTGTGAAGGGTTGAGGAAGAGGTAGTCAAAGGTAGGAGGGCCTAACCCCACCTTGCTCTCCCCCACATCCGCCCCCCTCCCCAGGTATCCGGCCTTGCCCCGGCCCCTCACCCAGCAGACCCTGACTCCGCAGCAGGACCCGGGCAGTGAGGAGCGGCCACCTGCCCTTCCCTTACCCCTGCCCGGCAGCGAGGAGAAGGCCAAGCTCATTGGGCAGATCAAGCCGGAGCTGTACCAGGGTGCCGGGCCGGGAGGGCGCCGGGGCGGCGGGGCTCCAGGCTCGGGCGAGGTTGGGGCGCCGTGTGGCCGCATCAGCTTTGCCCTGCGCTACCTCTACGGCTCCGATCAGTTGGTGGTGCGCATCCTGCAGGCCTTGGACCTCCCGGCCAAGGACTCCAACGGCTTCTCGGACCCCTACGTCAAGATCTACCTGCTGCCCGATCGCAAGAAAAAGTTTCAGACCAAGGTCAGGGCCTTGGGCTGGATGTCTGGGTCTCGCGGGGGACGGGGCTGGGGGGCCGGACTCCGGGGTCTGAGGGAGGAGGGGGCTGGGACTCCTGGACTTCTGGGTGCAGGGGAGGAGGGTCTGGTGGGCAATGCGTCTTTCTCCCCCTCTACCCCCGCCAGGTGCACAGGAAGACCCTGAACCCTGTGTTCAACGAGACGTTCCAGTTCTCCGTGCCCCTGGCTGAGCTAGCGCAGCGCAAACTTCACTTTAGCGTCTATGACTTTGACCGCTTCTCGCGGCATGACCTCATCGGCCAGGTGGTGCTGGATAACCTGCTGGAGCTGGCTGAGCAGCCTCCCGACCGCCCTCTCTGGAGGGACATCGTGGAGGGCGGCTCGGTCAGTGCCCTGCGACCTGCTGGCTCCTTCCCTGACCTCTCCCTTCCCAGGGACCCCAGACCTCTTGGTTTTGCAATCTCCTTACCCTCTGACTTCATAACCTTCTAACTTCAGGTCCCCTGACTTTTTTCTTTTAAACATTTACTTTATTGAGACGTATTGCAGACATACAAGGAAGAATAGAGAATGATGTCATGAACAGCCACGTCCCCAACATGTTAAATATTAACTTCGTGCCTTAACCCAAGAGTTCCCAACTGCTGACCCCCTTTGGAGGTCCCTGGGTGGCACAAACAATTTGTGTTTGGCCACTAAGCTAAAGGTTGTCGGTTCAAACCCACCCAGCGGCACCTCAGAAGAAAAGCATGACGATCTGCTTCCGTAAAGATCACAGCCAAGAAAACCCTATGGAGCAGTTCTACTATGTAACACATGGGGTCACCATGAGTCGGAATTGACTTAACAGCAGTAGGTTTGGTTTTCTGGTTTTTTTGTAAACCCCCTTTGGCTTCTAATGGAGCCCTGGTGGCGTAGTGATTAAGAGCTCAGCTGCTAACCATAAGGCTGGCAGTTCAAATCTACCACCCACTCCTTGGCAACCCTAGGGGGCAGTTCTACTCTGTCCTATAGGGTTGCCATGAGTTGGAATTGACACGACAGCAACAGGTTTGTTTGTCTGGTTGGTTTAGACTTCCAGTAACAATCAGGAAAATAGTAATATGCACCCAGGTACCCACCAGCCAGCTTTATCCAATCTCAACTCCCTGCTGTGATCCATGGCTTCTGCTCTCTACCCCAGCTTTCTGACCCTCGGGCTTCCTGACTCTAGAGTTTTTGGGCTTTTGTTTTTCCAACTTCCTTCCACTTTCCAAACCCCTAACTTCCTGATGCCTAGGCTTCTGGAACCCCCAACCCCTCCCATATCTGAACTTCTCAATGTTCCAAAGACCGACCTCCAAACCCTCTGTTTCTGCACTGTCCCCACCGGAATCCTAATAGCCTGATCCCCCCAGCCTCAGACATACTGGGATCCCCAATACTCTGATACCCCACAATTCCCCCCACATCCAGACTGTAGGACCCCAACCTCCAGTATCCCCACTGGCCCCCTCCATTTTGTATGACCCCCACCTTCTGGCACCTCAATCTCCTATATGTCCAACTCCACCTCCAGCCCAGCTTATAGGTCCTCATTGGATGTCCTGACCCCTTCTGCCCCCTAAACCCCAGACCCCCGACTCCAATGTGGGGATTTCCCAATTTTCCAACTTTCTGTCAAGCTGGAGTATCAGTGTGTGTTTGTGTGTGGGATGATTGACCTCTGTCTTCATATCAAGAGAAGGCTGCAGCTGCCCACCAGATGACCATGCTCAGCCTCAGTTTCCCCAACTGTGCAATGATATAGTTGAACCTGATGCCTAAGGCCCTTCCCTTGGTCACCTTCACAGGGCCTTCCCCCCATGCTTGCTTACTCCCCCAAGCCCAGCTTCTGGGAACCAAGTGCCTAGTTGCAGGGTCCCCCATTCCCAGGACCACGACTATACTACCAACCCCCAGTCCCTGTCATTGCCCCATGACAGCCCCATGCAAGGGCCCCTGTCTACATTCATCTTTATCTCCTTGTATCTGTCACTTCTCATCCCCCCGCCCCTGCCTCATTATCACTTGAGGAAACTGGGTGGTGCAAATGGTTTACAATGTGCTGCTAACCTAAAGGTTGGAAGTTCGAACTCACCCAGCAGCGCCACAGAAGAAAGCCTTGGCAAACTACTTCTGTAAAGATTACAGCCCAGGAAACCCTGTGGAACACAGTTCTACTCTGTAACACATAGGGTCGCCATGAGTCAGAATTGACTCAAGGGCAAGGAGTTTATTTTTTTATTATCATCACTCCATGTCTTCACTCATTTATTCATTCCAGGGCTTTGAACTGGTTCCCAGGAAGTTGTACATAAGAATCACCTGGGGATCTTGTTAAACTGTAGATTCTGATTCAGTATATCTGGGGTGGAAATGCAAATTCTCAGCAGGGAACTTGTTAGAAATGCAAATTTTCAGCAGGGGATCAAGCCAGAACAAATGGTTCGAAGCCCTGATTCATTTTTTCAACGCTTCTTTTTCAAAATTGGAACCTGGGGACCCCAGACAGTCCTTGGGAGCTCCTGATCTAGGTTGTCATGCAGATTGCTGTCAGGGGACAGTGTTATAGGGGCACACAAGAGGAGTATCTACTTGGGGCTTTAGGGGACCTGGAAGATTCTGGGAAGAGGTGACAACTAAGCTGAGTCTTGAAGAATGGGGAGGAGGCAGGAGAGAAGGGTATTTATGCAGAGGGGACAGCTGGGCAAAGGCCCTGAGGGCAGTGAGTGCGGGGGAATCCGGGACTGCGGCTGGTCAGTGTGGTTGGGAGGCAGGGGCCGAGATGAGGCCTCCTCTCTCTGGGTCTCTATCCCCCTCTCTCTCCAGTCTCTGTCCCTATCTCTCTGAGTCTCTGTCCCCTCGCTCTGGATCTCTGGCCCTCTCTCTGGATCTCTGTCCCTCTCTCTCTGGGTCCCTGTCCTCACCCCCGGGTCTCTGTCCCCATCTCTCTGGGTCTCTGTCCCCCCCCTCAGGTCTTTCTCCCTCTCTCTCTCTGATCTCTCTTCCCCTCTCTCTGGGTCTCTAACTTCCTCTCTCTCTGGGTCTCTGTCCCCCCATCTGTCTCTGGTCTCTGTCCCCCCTCCCTCTCTGGGTCTCTGTCCCTCTGTCTCTGAGTCTCTTGTTCTCCTCTCTTTCTGGGTTTCTGTCCCCCTCTCTCTGATCTGTCCCCCTCTCTCTGGGTCTCTGCCTTTCTCGAGTTGGGACACTGTAGGCCTTTCTAACTGTATCTCTCAGAGTGTTGGTCTCTGTCTCAGTCTGTTTCTCACTGTGGTCTCTCTCCCCTTCTCCTTCTTACTCCCCTCCCCCACACTCATGCCTCTTCCCATCTTCCCAGCGGAACAAATAGGCTTTGACAGTCCTGGAGGGCGGGTGGGAAGCAGGCAGCTGTGGCTAGGGAGTTACCAGGCTTTGGCCCAGAGTCAGATTGTTAAGTGGATTGGAAGCCTGAGCCCTGGATGTCAGGGGAGGAGTGCCTGAGGCATGAGATGGGAAAGAAAATCCGAGAGAGACGGGGGTGGGGGTGGGTGGGGTGGGGGGACTGAGGCAGGACATCTCTGAATCTGTTTCCTCAACTGCAGGAAAAGGCAGATCTTGGGGAGCTCAACTTCTCACTCTGCTACCTCCCCACGGCCGGGCGCCTCACCGTGACCATCATCAAAGCCTCTAACCTCAAAGCGATGGACCTCACCGGCTTCTCAGGTGGGTCCCGCTGCAGGGCTGGGGGTCAGGACGCCTGGGTCTGAGGGAGAAGGGGGCCGGGGGCTCGTTCAGTACTCTCTATCCCCGCCCCCAGACCCCTATGTGAAAGCCTCTCTGATCAGCGAGGGGCGGCGTCTGAAGAAGCGGAAAACTTCCATCAAGAAGAACACGCTGAACCCCACGTACAACGAGGCGCTCGTGTTCGACGTGGCCCCAGAGAGTGTGGAGAACGTGGGGCTCAGCATCGCGGTGGTGGACTACGACTGGTGAGCGGGGCTGTGGGCACGGGAGGATGGGGACGGGGTGATGGTGCATGCCCACTCCACACCCTCTGCATGTGCTCACCTCCCCCGCCCCCCAGCATCGGCCACAACGAGGTGATCGGCGTGTGCCGCGTGGGACCCGATGCTGCCGACCCCCACGGCCGCGAGCACTGGGCTGAGATGCTCGCCAACCCCCGCAAGCCCGTGGAGCGCTGGCATCAGCTGGTGGAGGTGAGTGAGGCCGCCCCCCGGTGTCACGTGCCCCTCCATTCACCTGCCCACTTCTTTGCCCCTTCCATTCATGCGACACACGTGTCTCTATGGGCTCCAGAGCCAAAATGCTGAGGTTGGAATCCCTGAGCAACCATCTTTAGCTGTGACTTTGAGCAAGTTGGTCAACCTCTCTGTTCCTTTTTTTTTCCCGACTGGAATATGGGGCTGTTAATTGCATCTACAGGTCCCTGGGTGGTGTATACAGGTTGCTGTCAGCTACTAACCTAAAGGTTGGTGATTCAAACCCAGTGGCACCGCGCATGGAAGAAAGGCCTGGTGATCTACTGCCATAAACACTACAGCCAAGATAATCCCATGGAGCAGTTCTCTTCTGGAGCACCTAGGGTCACCATGAGTCAGAATCAACTAGACGGCAATAAGTTTGACTTTTTGGTAATATAGCATCTACCTGTTAGAATAAATGTGAGGATTCAGTGTTTTACTACAGAATGTGGGCCTACCACTTAATAAGTGCTCAAAAAATGGTCACCCACCGTTGTTATTAATATTGGTGGCAGTGGTGGTTCCAGGCCAATACAGCTCATGTGCAGCCACCACCCGTCTGTCAGTGGAGGCTTGCATGCTGCTATGATGTTGACCAGGTTTCACTGGAGCTTCCAGACTAAGACAGACTAGGAAGAAAGGCCTGGTGATCTACTTCCAAAAATCAGCCGATGAAAGCAGTCTGATCCCCAACTGATCATGCGGTCGGTGCAGGGCCGGGCAGCGTTTTGAACCATTGTGCATGGGGTTGCCATGAGTTGGGGTGACTCATCCCACAGCTAACAACAACTGTTGTTATTATTATTACCCATGAGAAAAAAACCTCAAACCAAACCCGTTGCTATTGAGTCGATTCTGACTTATAACAACCCTATAGGACAGAGTGGAACTGCCCTAAAGGGTTTTCTAGGCTGTAATCTTTATGGGAGCAGATTGCCAGGTCTTTCTCCTGCGGAGCCACTGAGTAGGTTTGAACCACCAACCTTTCGGTTAGCAGCCTGCTCTTAACTGTTGTGCCACCAGGGCTCCTGTTTATTGGGTAGAGTACAGCAATTCCTTTAAAAATAATGACTAAGAAAATAATAAGTAAAATAGAAGAGAATGGAAAATATCATAATAGAGCACCCATCCTAAGGATCATGGTGTCATTTTTTTTTTTTCTTGTGGATTTTGGTCCAAAAAGTGTGGAAGTCCTGGAAATTGAGGGGGTCCAGATGTGTGTATGTGGAGGAAGGCACCCTTTAGATTAAGGGGTCAGGGAGGGCCTCTGAGGAGGTGACATTTAAGCAGAAACCTGGAGGTTAAGGAATGGACTCTGGTGAAGGTAGAAAGGAGAAAGATGAAGGGAAAGGGTACTGCATAACCAGTGTCTTAGTTACCTAGTGCTGCTATAACAGAAATACCACAAGGGGGTGGCTTTAACAAACAGAAACTTATTTTCTCACAGTTTAGGAGGCTTGAAGTCTGATTTCAGGGTGCTGACTCTAGAGGAAGGCTCTCTCCCTGTCAGCTCTGGGGGAAGGTCCTCGTTCCTTGGTTCCTTGGTGATCTTCATGTGGCTTGACATTTGTCTTCCCCCATCTCTGCTTACTTCTCTGTTCGTTTTTATATCTCAGAGGTGATTGGCCTAAGACACACCCTACACTAATACTGCCTGTTATGGATTGAATTGTGTCCCCCAAAAATATGTGTATCAATTTGGCTATGCCATGATTCCCAGTATTGTGTGATTGTCCACCATTTTGTCATCTGATGTGATTTTCCTGTGTGTTGTAAATCCTATCTCTATGATGTTAATGAGATGGGATTAGTGGCAGTTACATTAATGAGGCAGGGCTCAATCTACAAGATTATATTGTGTTTTAAGCCAATCTCTTTTGAGATATAAAAGAGAGAAGCGAGCAGAGAGACATGGGGACCTCATACCACCAAGAAGCAAGAGCCAGGAGAATAGCGCATTCTTTGGACCCGGTGTCCCTGAGCTGAGAAGCTCCTCAACTGGTGAGGATTGACGACAAGGACCTTCCCCCAGAGGTGACAGAGAGAGAAGGCTTCCTCTGCAGCTGGCACCCTGAGTTCGGATTTCTAGCCTCCTAGACTGTGAGAGAATGGGTTTCTCTTTGTTGAAGCCATCCACTTGTGGTATTTCTGTTATAGCAGCACTAGATAACCAAGACGCTGCCTCATTAACATAACTAAGAACCCCATTCCTAAATGGGATTATAATCACAGGTATATGGAAAAAAAAAAAAATCTGTTGCCATCGAGTCGATTCCAACTCATAGCGACCCTACAGGACAGAGTAGAACTGCCCTATAGAGTTTCCAAGGAGCTGCTGGTAGATTTGAGTTGCCAACCTTCTGGTTAGCAGCCAAGCTCTTTACCACTGTGCCACCAGGTCTTCAACCACAGATATAAACCAAACCAAACCCATTGCCGTCAAGCCAATTCTGACTCATAGCGACCCTATAGGACAGAGTAGAAGTGCCCCCATAGGGTTACCACAAGTATAGGGGTTAGGATTTACAACACATGTTTTGGGGGGACACAATTCAATCCATAACAACCAGGAAGCAGGGAACCACCAGTTGCCGTGGAGTGGACTCTGACTCATGACAGCCCCAGGTGTGTCAGAGTAGAACTGTGCCCCACTGGGTTTTCAACGGCTGATTTTTCAGAAGTAGACCCCGCCAGTTCTTTCTTCTAAGGTGCCTTTGGGTGGAATTGAACCTCCAACCTTTCTGTTAGCAGTTGAGTACATTAAATGTGTGGACCACCCAGGGACTCCAGGAAGCAGGGAAGGGCTGGGCATTTTTCAGGAGCAGTGAGAAGGTGGCTGGGACAGAGAGAACCAGAGGCAGGGGGGTTGGGAGGTGAGGGTTGGGGCAGGGGGGCAGATCACATGGGGCCATGTGGGCCACGTGACAGCAAGCAGGCCACTTTTTAAATTAAAAATCATTAAAAATTAAGAGAAATTATCCATCAGCCATTCTTTTATTTGAAAATGAAGAAAGCAAAAGAGTCGATCTTGAAAACATTACTGACTGGCTTGCTTTCGTTAAAGACAGCAAAATGAAACTACAATAAATTCTGTTTCGGGGTATAGAGAAGATATTTAAACTTAGAATACTACTGGAATTTCAATACACTTACTTTTCTTTCTATTTTTCATTGACTTTAATGTTCTGGAAAAAACTGACCATGAAAAAAAGACATGAAACATATAATAGGGAAAAAATAGCCATTTAAAAATACATAAAAATGTATACGATAAGGATTGTTTAAAAAAAAAAAAAGGGCTCCCCGCACCCCACCCCATTTAAACTTAAGTCTTAACCCTTCACAGAAACTAAAAACTCACGAAGTAGCCAGTTCTGGGGAAAGTTTAAATAATTAGGTAAGCCGTAGCTTGCCTATGGACTGCAGACACGCAAACTTAATAAACCAAGCCAAGCTGCCTCCTGCCGATAAAGTGAATGACAACCGACCATGTTAAATTGTCCTTTCGGGAAATCCCCTAACAGTTTGCACGGTATATAAGCTGATCAAAATTGTAACGTGCCGAGTTCATCTCTTAGGAGGGGTGCTTCCATTCCCAGACAGTTTTTTGTTTTGTTTTCCACCCAGTAAAACCTTTTAACTCTAATTGGTTTATTGATCAGATTTTCTTTCTTTTGACAAAATGCACAGTTTTCCTTTTGTCTCAGGCCCCAATACCACATGGTTTGACCTTTCTTTAAAATTTTGATATTTTGTTCATTGTGGACCGTTTTGTTGCATTGTTTTTTTTTTTTTTTAAATATTGCATTCAAATATCATTTATCTTGATTACTGAGTTTTTGGTGCCCTCTTAAAGTTTGTACCCAGGGTGAATGCTTCACTTGCCTCACCCTAGTCTGGGCCTTAAGGAGCTCTGGTGGTGCAAAGGTTAAGTGCTCAGCTGCTAACCAAAAGGTTGGTGGTTCGAACCCATCCAGTGGCTCCTCGGGAGAAGGACCTGGCGATCTGCTTCTGTGACGATTAGAGCCAAGAAAACCCTAGGGGGCAGTTCTACTCTGTCACATGAGGTCACTATGAGTTAAAATCGACTTGACGGCACCTAACAACAACAACAGTCTGGGCCTTGCTTTGGACTGTTTTCCAAGTGCGATGAGCTACGGTAGGGATTTAAGCATCAGAGCATAGAGCTCAGATTTGAGTTTTCAAAAGACTGACCTTTCTTAGGTGGATAGGACAGTAGTTACCCCCTCCTTGTCATTTACTCTTACCCTAATTCATTCATTCATTCATTCCACAGTCTGCTTCAGAAGGTCCCCCTCCCCACAACCATGTGCCACACTCCATGCTGGGCACAGAGAGAAGTCAAATCCAGGCCTAGCCCTCACCCCGAGTTTCAGCCAGTATTACTAGTACGGCTGCAGAGGGTCTTTCTACACCCAGAACTGGCCTGCCACTCTCCTGCTCACATGCCCTCTGTGGCTCCCCAGTGCTCCCAGCACAAAGTCCCAGCCCCACCAAGACCCTGCAGGGTCTGCCTCATCCACCCCGGCAGCCTCATCTCTCCCCACATTTTCAGTGACTTCTCATCTTCGTGCCTCAGTTTCCCCATCTGTAGAATAGGGTTGTGATACCACTGGCCCCATCACTTCAGAGCTGAGCGAAGAAAGAGCCCTGTAAATGCTGAAACAGGACTGTTAGTGGTGGTTCTGCCTCTGTCCCCCTTCTCCTGAACCTTCTGAATTTCCCTCTTCAGGAAAAGACTTTGACCAGCTTCACGAAAGGCAGCAAAGGACTATCAGAGAAAGAGAACTCAGAGTGAGGGGTAAGGAGCTGAGAACGGGGAGGAGGGGCTGGGGGTCTGGACTCCTAGGTCTTAGGGAGGCAGGCTGGAGGCCTGGACTCTCGGGTCTAAGGTAGTGGGGCTCAGGACGGGGACTCCTGGGTCCCTGGGGTGGTGATGGAGCTACACAGCCCTTGGGCTCACTTCTGCCACCTCTGACTACCCCTCCCCTGCCCTATTCCGCAGGTCTGGCCTAGGCTTGGGATCGGACCAGGCCCCCTCAGGACCCCATCCCTTCCTGCCCGGACCGTGAATTCATCTCCTCGAAGCCATAACGTCCGAGCTGCGTGGTGCGGGGTAGCCCTGGGCCTCATCTTTCTCACCCCCAGAGGTGTGAGGGTGGGAGGCAGGCCGGTCCAGCTCCCTGTTTCAGGGTGAGGGGCATTCAGTCTCCACTGTGTCTGTCTTCCTTTCCCTGGGGCTCCCACTCGAGGCAAGGGGCTGTGCATGTTTGGGGGACCCCTGCCCCCCAAACCCTCTATCTGTCCCTTTGCTGTTTTTCCAAGACTTGGTGTCCTGACCCCTGTTCTCACTGTGAATGTCAACGGACCGATCCTCTGTTTCCCCAGACACACACACACACACCTGCGTCCTGTGTCCACCCTTCTGTCTGCCCCACCCCGCGTCTGGCCGATCCCCCCAACTGCTGCTGCTATCAACGCCAGAATAAACACACACCATGGGTCTCACTCCACCTAGGGCTCGTGTCCTCTCTGGGACTGGGAAACTGGGCTGGAACATGCTGGCTCTGTGTTCAGACAGATGTCTTTTTCATTTGCTGGCTGGGTGACCTTGGGCTACTTAACTGATCTCCCTGAGCTTTGGTTTCTAGAAATTATATTAGCCAGGACCATTTTGAGAATAGGAGACAAAATGCAACTCAAACTACCTTCAGCCACAAACAGTAGAGTTTGAGGTTGTACATAGGACTTCAGGCATGGCTGGATCAAGGTGTTCAAGGAACTCTTTCATTCCTGCTTTCCTCCTTATTGGCTTCGTTCTCAGGCAAGTCTTTGCAGTGTTAATAAGATGACCACTTGGAGCTCCAGGCTTATAATGCTGCATATGTGATGATGCCGTCAGCTGCAAATAACAGAATTCTCAATTAAAAGAGCTTACATGCTAGAGATTTCTTTTTTCTCATATAACAGATCTTTCAAAGACAGACAGTTCGTTCAGTTGCTCTGCAACGTCAGGCACTGGTTGGCATCTCCAAGAGTCATTTTGCCTTTCCCTCCCAAGTACAAATTGTCTACATGATGTTCTCACACAGTGCTGTCAAAAGCAGAAAATATGGCCAGGGGTCTCCCCTTCTGTGTTCATCCAGAAGAGTTGTCCTGACTTCTCGTTTGCCAGAACTGGTTCCATGGCCACCTGATTTGCAAAGCAGTCTGGGAACATGAACATCTGCCATTTCTAGTCTTTATTGTGGTGTATGGGTTTTGCCAACAGAAAAGAATGGGGAGGGGAATGATTGTCGGGCTGGAAATTAACAGCACCTGCTGCAGTATCTCTCAGATTGGATGCTTTCAGAGGAAACAGATCCAGGATCCTCTTTCCTTTGGCTTCCATGTTGTTGTTAGTTGCCACCAAGTAGATTCTGACTCATGGTGACCCATGTGTTGCAGAGAGAACGGCTTCACCACACCCCACGTCTGGTTGACCCCCTTCCCCCCCACTGCTGCTATCATCACCAGAATAAAAACACACTATGGGTCTCACTTCACCTATGGCTCATGTCCTCTCCGGGACCTGGAAGATGGGCTAGAACACGCTCGGTTTTCAAGGCTGTGACCTTTAGGAAGCTGATCACTGGGCCTGTCTTCTGAGGTGCCTCTGGGTGGGATTGAACTGCCAACCTTTCAGCTAGTAGTCGAAGCGCTTAACTGTTTGCACTACCCAGGAACTCCAAGGATTGCCAGGAGCCACCAGAAGCTTGGAGAGAGGCATGGAACAGTTCCTCTCTCTGAGACCTCAGAAGGAGTCAACAGTTGATATCCTGATTTGGGCGTCTGGATTCCAAACTGAGACAATAAATGTCTGTTGTTTGAAGCCACCCAGTTTGTGGTATTTTGTTATGGCAGCCCAAGAAAACTAATACACACTCCAAACCTAGGATCTCTGGGTATTAGGCAGCCCTTTTATTCTGCTCTGTGGCTTGGAGCCCTGTGGCCCAATGGTTAAGCAACTCGGCTGCTAACCAAAAGATTGGTGGTTCGAACCCACCCAGCAGCTCCATGGGAAAAAGACCTGGCAATCTGCTCCAGTAAAGATTACAGCCTAGAAAACTCTATGGGGCAGTTCTACTCTGTCACATGAGGTCGCAATGAGTTGAAATCAGACTTGACGACATCTAACAACAACAACTTGGCTTGCCTGCCTCTAGAGCATTCAGGAGAAGGACTCTGATTGGTCCTGCTCAGACCTTGGGTGGCCAATTCAGACAATTGTTGTATCCGGAAGAACAGGACACACAGTTTGGTATGCATGGTCTTGGGCCCACCTCTCATCTTGCTGACCACTCCTCCCCTGTCTGCCCTGTAGGACTAACCTAGGCCTGAGAATGACCTAGACCCCCTTAGGACTCCATTCCTTCCTGCCTGGGCCATGAATTCATCTCCCTGAAGCAATAATGTTCTTTAGTAGTGAATATTGGGTCATTTGATTGACAGCCTCAATGAATCACATGGCAATGGGTAAGGGACAGTCCCTCAAAGTGGTAGATGTCCACTACATTCCACCCATGGCTTCTCAGCGTTCATTCACACCCATTTTCCCATATACACTGTTTTGAAAAATTCTCCTACCATAAGAAATGATACCACCACTGTATTAGTTTCCTAGGGTTGCTGTAACAAATGACCACAAACTAGGTTTAAGAAGGGACCCTGGTGGTGTAGTGGTTACATGCTTGGCTGCTAACAGAAAGGTCAGCCTCTCCGTGGGAGGAAGATGTGGCAGTCTGCTTCTGTAAAGACTACAGCCTAGGAAACCCTATAGGGCAGTTCTACTCTGTCCTGTAAGGTTGCTATGAGTCAGAATTGACTCAAGGACAATGGGTAAGCTGGCTTAGAACAACGGAGATTTTGTTCTTATTCAGTCTAGAGGCCAGAAGTCTGAAATCAAGGTGTTGGCAGGGTTGGTTCTGGAAGCTCTGAGGGAGAGTCTGTTCTCTGCCTCTCTACTAGCCTCTGCTGGCTCTTGGCAAATCTTGGCGTTCCTTGGCTTGCAGACACATCACTCCAATCTCTGCCTCTGCCTTCGTATTTTCTTCTCGTCTGTGTTTCTCTGTGTTTCAAATCTCCCTCTACCTTTCTCTTACAAAGACGCACCTCATTGGATTTTGGGCCCATGCTAAATCCAGGATGATCCCATCTCAAGATTCTTAACTTAATTACATCTTCAAAAAGGTCCCTGGGTGGCACAAACAATTTGCCATTGGCTAATAACCAAAACGTTGGCAGTTCAAACTCTCCCAGAACAGCACTGTGAAAGAAACAGGCCTGGAAATCTTCTTCCATAAAGATAACAGTCAAGGAAACCCTATGGAGCAGTTCTACACTGTAACACTTGGGGTCCCCTAAGTCACAACCCATTGCCAATGAGTTGATTCTCTACGAAGATCCTGTAAGACAGAGTAGAACTGACGCGTAGGCTGTAATCTTTATGGGAGCACACTGCGGAATGGCTGGTGGGTTTGAACCGCCAACCTTTCAGTTAGCAGCTGAGCACTTAACCACCGTGCCACCAGGGCTCTTTAAGTCACAAATCAACAACAAAAACAAAATCAACAATTACTTCAGCAAAGACTCTTTTTTCAAATAAGGTCACATCCACAAGTTCCAGGGGCTAGGGCATGGACATATCTTTCAGGGGCCATATTCAACCCACTACAAACACCTTCAAAAGCAATTTGGCCATTTCTTATAAAGTTGTTGTTATGTGCCGACTCGTAGCGACCCTATGCACAACAGAATGGAACACTGCTCAGTCCTGCACCATCCTCACAATCATTGCTATGTTTGAGTCCATTGTTGCAGTCACTGTGTCAATCCATCTCGTCGAGAGTCTTCCTCTTTTTTGCTGACCCTCTACCAAGCAAGATGTCCTTCTCCAGGGACTGGTCTCTCTTGATAACATGTTCAAAGTACATGAGACAAAGTCTCACCGTGTTTCCTTCTAAGGAGCATTCTGGCTGTACTTCTTCCAAGATAGACTTGTTCGTTCTTCTGGCAGTCCATGTTATTTATATTCAGTATTCTTTACCAACACTGTAATTCAAAGGCATCAATTCTTCTTCCATCTTCCTTATTCATTGTTCAGCTTTCACATACATATGAGGTGACTGAAAACACCATGGTTTGGGTCAGGCACACCTTAGTCCTCAAAGTGACATCTTTGCTTTTCAACACTTTAAAGAGGTCTTTTGCAGTAGATTTGCCCAGTACAATACGTCATTTGATTTCTTGACTGCTGCTTCCATGAGTGTTAATTATGGATCCAAGTAAAATGAAATCCGTGACAACTTCAATATTTTCTCCCGTTATCATGATGTCTCTTATTGGTCCAGTTGTGAGGATTTTTGTTTTCTTCATGTTGAGGTGTAATCCATACTGAAAGCTGTGGTCTTTGATCTTCATCAGTAAGTGCTTCAAGCCCTCTTCACTTTCAGCAAGCAAGGTTGTGTCATCTGCATATTCCAGGTTGTTAATGAGTCTTCCACCAATACTGATGCCATGTTCTTCTTCATGTAATCCAGCTTCTCGGATTATTTGCTTAGCATACAGACTGAATAAGTATGGTGAAAGGATACAACCCTGACATACACCTTTTCTGATTTTAAACCACTCTGTATCCCCTTATTCTGTCTGAATGACTGCTTCTTGGTCTGTGTATAGGTTTCATGTGAGCACAATTAAATGTTCTGGAATTCTCATTTTTCACAATGTGTTATCCATAATTTGTTATGATCCACACAGTCGAATGCCTTTACATAGTCAACAAAACACAGGTAAACATCTTTCTGGTATTCTCTGCTTTCAGCCAAGAGCCATCTGACATCAACAATGATATTCCTCATTCCATGTCCTCTTCTGAATCCGGCTTGAGTTTCTGGCAGTTCCCTGTTGATGCACTGCTGCAACCATTTTTGAATTAACTTCAGCAATATTTCACTTGTGCGTGATATCAATGATATTGTTCGATAATTTCCGCATTCTGTTGGATCATCTTTCTTTGAAATGGGCAAAAATATGGATCTTTTTGAGTTAGTTGGCCAGGTAGCTGTCTTCCAAATTTCTTGACGTAGACGAGTGAGTGCTTCCACATTGCATCTGTTTGTTGAAACATCTCAATTGGTATTCTGCCAATTTCTGGAGACTTGTTTTTCACCCATGCCTTCAATACCATTGGTTCTTGATCAAGTGCTACCTCCTGAAATGGTTGAATGTTGATCAATTCTTTTTGGTATAGTGACTCTGTGTATTCCTTCCATCTTCTTTTGATGCTTCCTGTGTTGTTCAATATTTTGCTCATAGAATCCTTTAATATTGCAACACGAGGCTTGAATTTTTTCTTCAGTTCTTTCAGCTTGAGAAATGCCGAGTGTGTTCTTCCCTTTCGGTTTTCTAACTCCAGGTCTTTGCACATTTCATTATAATACTTTACTTTGTCTTCTCGAGCTGACCTTTGAAG